GGGATCAGCGACCAGCCTTGTCTATAAGACTGTCCAAGAATGGCCCCGCCCCCTCCCAAGCCAAAAAACAGCAAAGAAAATATTTATATTTCTAAAATGAATTTGTATGTTAATTTCATGGACCACAGATTCCACGCCATTGTGCCATACCTTCTTACATATTCTGTCAGATGTGGTAGTCTGGGACCAGGAAATCATGCCAGCATCATACATTTGTTCCTTATTAACATAAAATGATGTTAAATGTACCATTAGAATAGTAAAGACATCATTTTAACAGGTTTTAGTCATCCTCCCCACAATGGTAAGATTTTCACTGAGCAAATATCTGAGAGGATAGGCCTGGGTTGACAGCTTTTGAATAGGGTAGATTTGCTTAGAGGGGAGAGTGAGTCTGGGTTCATGGTCAGCCGTTAGCCAGGCACAAAGAGACTCCTAAAAGTGACCAGTTTCTTTCTTGACTAAAAGTGTCGGAAATGCCAGAAATGTCCTTAGGTCTCATCCTTGCCTTGCGTCAGAGATGGTAGAAGTGCTTGTCAAACTCCTCTGGCCTTGGGGTGTCAGGAAAGGGCTAGGAGTCTGGTCTGCCCCTCTATTTCCCCCTCTCCTGGAGTCATACAGAGACTGTGATTAAAGCTACATGGCCTGGATACCTGGGATAGAAACTGGCCGGACCAGCTCATCCCCACTCCTCCATCCAGCGATGCCCTATTAACTCCAAGACAGCAACGTCAATGGTTCTCCACTTTTGGGGATCCCTCCAGCTACAAAAGATCTGCCTTTCTTCCTTCTCTTAAACTTCATGTAATAAAATTATTTCAAAGACTTAACATCCATGAGCCATGAATCTCATTATTTGAGTTTTCAAGACAAGAGCCCAATGAGGAAAAACAACCCAAATCTACAGCTTTAGAGTGACTTTGGTGGTCCTAGCCCCACACGTTAAGCTCACCAAGAGCCCCCTAAGATGGTGAGACTTCCTCTCTCAAGCTTTCTCTTGCCAGATATGTGGTTATAGCAATGGGGAAATGACTAGTGCACCTAATGTCACCCGGAACTTCCCGCATCTTTCTAAAATGCAATTTTAATGGTGCTGAGCCCCTGTTTGCAGCTTTGCAGTGGTTTCCTGAGACCCAGAAGGATTTTGGTACAGACAGGTTCACGTCACAAAATAATCCTAATAGCCTGTATGGCCTTTGTCTCTCTCCAGAGTGTGGTTTCTTCAGACACGTGGTTCCAGCAGGTCTGAGCTAGACTTTCTAATCTATCAAACCTCGCCTGGCCTCCCGTTCTACCTGATGTCTTCCTACTTCCACTTCAGCATCCAGTTCTCCCGTTCTACCTGATGTCTTCCTACTTCCACTTCAGCATCCAGTTCAAGTTCCTCATTTTCTGTATCCACCTCACACCACATGGCTCGGTTTTTCTAAATAGCCGTTCCTTCCTTAGAGATTCACGGTACACTCAGAATCCAGTGAGCTACTAGAGCTGGTTGGCCTTCTGAGACTTAGAAGGAATTTGGTCTTTTCTGTCTTGTGCATTCTTTACTGCCCCTGGCTTGCTGTCTGCAAAGTGTTAATGAATAATTTTTGAGGAAAAAGAAACTCAGGACTACATCAAGGCAAATACCTTCTTTTGTTGAAAACAATTCTGAGTATGTACATGTACGTGTGTGTATGTGGGGTGTCTTTCTCACCTGATCTCCACCTTAGTTCTTTTTTTTTGTTTTTCTGTTTTGTTTCTTGTGTTTTGTTTTGTTTTGTTTTGAGACAGAGTTTCTCTGTAGCTTTGGAGCCTATCCTGGAACTAGCTCTTGTAGACCAGGCTGGCCTCGAACTCACAAAGATCCGCCTGCCCCTGCCTCCCGAGTGCTCCATCTTAGTTCTTGAGACAAGCTTTCTCACTGAACCTGGAGTTTGTGGATTTTGCTAGTCTAGGTGGCCACCAAGTCCCAGGGATCCTTCTATCTCCAACTCCTCAGCACTAGGATTACCGGAGGTACACACTGTACCTGGCTTCTTACATGGGCGCTGGGAAGGCACATTCAGGTCCATGGGCTTTGCAGCAAGCACCTCACCATATCTGCCCAGCCCCAATGTTGTGGTGAGGGTGGTTGTTTTAACTTTTGATACATAAAATTTAAGAGAAGAGAAAATGGAGAAGAAAGAAAAGTGTCATCGTGGGAGTTATAGTGTGACGTAGTGAGTCACACAGTAAACCCTTGAGTCCACACATCTTTACTCGCAGGTGTTCACTGAAAGTCATTGGTCTGGTTCGAGGTCTCTGGTTTCTACTATGCTATCCATACTCACTGGGACTTCTCTTGGGTATCATGATGTTGCCCTGTGTTGTGGAGATCCTGCAGCTCTGGGTCTGCAGGACCAGCTCCTTCACAAGCTCCAGTAGATATAGATGGGTCATGTTGGGGTGGGCCAGTTCATAACCCTAGTTCTGGACCTGGGTGGTTGCAGGGTTGCCCTATCCGCCAGCTCTGCTCCATCCTCACCACCAGGGGAGCTCTCCAGCATTGTCCAGGCTAGCTCACTCTTTGTAGCAAGGAGCAAGGGGCGTGGCTGGGTCTCCTGTTTTCGAGCCCTCAGAGCAGGCTCACCCACACTACACCACCAGGGCGCGCTCCACTGTGTTGCCCAGGCAAGGCACAGGGCCCAGTAGTGGGGCCAGCACTCTCTCCCTCCCTCAGGCCCTGGGGCCAGCTCGCATCCCTCCCTCCACTTCCCCACTCTCCACCAAGGAGTAGAGTCTACAGTGCTGCCCCGCAAGGTGCAGGGCCTGCTCTTGGCTCTCAGGCCCTCAGGGCCAGGTTTCCTTTCCACCACAGGAGGCAAAGAGCAGGGCTTGTGGCGGGGGTGGGGTGGGGGGCGGGGTGGGGGTGGTGGTGTTCCTCTCCCTTGCCCACACCACCCTATGGCAGATGAGGGTCGGGCCGGACCTCCCACACTCCCGTTCTCCAGGTTGGTTCACCAATATTGTTGTAAAAGACAACTTTTACTGTTTCTTCTGCTTGTAACAATACTGTTGAATGGGTGTAAAAAACCTCCGAAGAACTACAAACAAAATCTGGATGTCCTCTGACTCACAGCTAAGTCTGAGGCTGCTGCAGCCTCCCTTTTCCTGTCATAAGAATTCCTGAGTCTGTGTGGTGTCATTAGCCATTAATCCAAGACTTGAGAGGCAGAGGCGGGCGAACTCTGTGAATTCAAAGACAGCCTGGTCTACATAGTGAGACCCAGTGTTTGTTTGTTTTTTTTTTTTAAATCGAGGAGGTAGGTATTTGTTGTTTCAGAGGAGCCCCATTGTTGCCTGTTACAGAGATGGGATATTAAACCCAAGCCAGCCGGAACTGAGTTGCTGCCCTTGCAGGCCTCTCTGTGGTTCCACTGGTAGCAATGGTCTCTGGGCCGAATCCTCTATGGCGGTTGGATGGCTGGAACTCAGGTGCTGCTTCTTGGTGCTAAAGGTTGTGACATTTTGCTGTGCCCCTGGGGCTGCAGGTACTGCCAACCTTGGCTGGTTGACTGGGCATGACAGACGCCACACGTGGATAAGTCTTGGCTGGGTTGACTGTGGTGGGACAGACGCCACACATAGGTAAGTGGCCCCATATTACATCTCCTGGCTGAATCTGGCTGTGGCTCTAGCCCTGCACTTTCGCTTCCTCTCGCGATGAAACACTACCCAAGGTCACACCTGCAAACGTGTCTATGTGTTTTGCAACTCAAGTTCACTGAATTTAATTTATCCATAGGATAAATCTACCCATAGGATAAATCTATCCATGGGATAAATTCCATAGAATAAATTTATCCATAGGAGCCTCCTCCCTCGCTTCCTATTACAAAAGAAAAGTTATCTTTGTAAAAGAGCAAAATATTTAAAGGAAACCTAGAATCTAGCTGAAGAATGCACTAGTTTTTTTCCTCTAATTTTGCAAAGCTCTGCCGTCTATAATTGTATAAATGGGTGGAAAAGATAAAGTCGATAATGTTTTCTGGTCGTAACAATCTCGGAGTGTAGAGTGGGTGAGGGAGACTTGGGAATGAACACTCTGTTTTTCAGGAACTCACTCCTGGAGTATTTTTGTCAAACTAGGAAAGTAAGTTCTACTGACCTGCCCCCAACCAGGGTAGAAATGATGAAATTTACTTTTTCTTCTGGATAACAGAGTTTTGCTTGGCTGGATGTGTATGCGATATTCCTCTGCTGCTCTGTTTCTGTAGACACATCTCTGTTGTCAAGTATTTCATAAATAAACCTGATCACATCAGAATAAAGTTCTTCAATAATAATCATAACTATTACATGTTAGCTGCTCTGATTTCACCATGACTCATTGTCTGCATGAACTAGAATAGTCTTCTGTATTCCATAAATATGTAACTATTAAAACACCAAAATTTTAGATCTAGCTTAGTAGTTAAAACATTTGCTCTCGCTGAAGACATGGGTTCAGCTCTGAGCATTCACACCGTGGCTAACAACTACCTCTTAATCCCAGTCTACGGAATCTGACTTGCTCTTCTGGCCTCTGAGGGCACAGGCATGTACATGGTGCACATACATACATACATACAGGCGAACACTCATACACATAACAAAACAAGTCTGAAAACAGATGATAAAGATTTGTATTTCAAGGCATTTAAAAATTTATAACGATAAATCTGGTAATTTGGTTGTTTAGCTATTCCACATAGAGAAAATATGCTAAAGACTGGTTCATTTTTTTTTAATTACATCTGTCAGAACATGAACAAATTCGAAACGTACCACCTGTGCACAGATAAAATAAGATACTGAGGTAGGGCCCATGGAAGTGAGATGGCTCAACAGGTGAAAGTGGACAAGCCTGACGACGTGGGTTCGATTCCTGGCCTCGCATGTCTTAGAAGAGAGCTGACATCCACATACATGCCCTGGCACTCATGTGCTTATGCACATACACACCAAATAAACAAACAGTTGTAGTAGAAACTAAAGCGTTATCCTGAAGTATTCATTTTATTAACAAACACAAACTTGAGATGTTTATAGTAAAACATATCAATATTGAGCAATTCTACAGCCTGGAGGCCATCTCCGTCCTGTTTGTTTTGCTGGCATCTTCCCAGCCACATCTAATCTTCATTATCTTCCTCCTCAAGCAGGGCAAGGAGAGCACGACTTTACACATCAGGACAACAGTTGGAAGGACAACGGCTATCATAAAAGTCGGAGGCGTGTACCATACAAACTGGTTGATATCCACCCATTTATTCCAGGCAAAAATCAAAGCGTGCACTGTGCCCAGAAGAAGAGAGACAATTCCTAGTTTGCTCTGCAAAAGAAAATACATTATGACCCTAAGTAAAGGTTGATTCAGTATTAGTAGGTTCCAACCTACCTGCTTGGGACTTGTTCTATTGCTTGGAAATCCTTTCATTTGGAAATTCTTTCATTTACTACAGCTATTTTCTCAACATGGTCCATCCACACCTTTCTATTCTTTTCATAGTCTGTCCTCATTACATGACTTTTGGGTAACTGTTCTTGTTTCTACGGTAAGTTGAAAAGTCATTACCTTTTTCTTAGGAAGTGGTCAACAGCTCTATCTGTGCCTTCTCTGCCATTCTGCTTAAGACAGCTTTCTTAAGGTGTTTCTGTTTTATTGGGGGTGATGGGGCTCAAAACCAGGGCCTTGCGCGTGTTAGCTGAACACTCTGTAATGGGTCAACATCCCGGATTCATTATGACATTTTATCTTATTGATTTTATATTAACACTGCCTACTAGGCAATAAATAAAATTGGACACTGTCTTATAGCAGGGTCCTGGCAGGAGCAACACAATATTTTGAACATGTCAGGCGTTCAATGAATATTGCTGATTGATTAAAGAATACTGTAAAAAAAATCAATCTGACCTCAGTGATCTTTATCAACTGATGTTATTCTAATTATGTAAATAAATAGAAAATGGACTTTATGTGGGGTGTGTGTGTGTGTGTATACAGTTTTCCAATGAATCATTTTTTAATGCCAAGCAAAATGTTTTAGTAAGAGAGGTTGGGAAAATAACCGTAGAGGTCTCCCTTCTCTACATAGAAAAAAGTCATCCTGATGTTTGTTACAAGGCCCACAAATCTACTACTTTTTTTTTCTATTTTTTTTCTGATGCCCTATGCTGGAAAAAAAAGAAGAGAAATAAAATTACTGGTCCACTTACATTAGAGAAGATCTATTGATATCACAATTGTAAGTTCTAGAGGAAGTTAGGAAAAGTAGTGAGAAAAACCAGGCCAGTCAAAACACTTGTTTCTTTATATATATTTGAGACAGGGTCTCACTATATAGTTCCCACTAGTCCGGAGCTCACTACGTAGATTAAGATGACCTTGAACTCAAAGAGATCTATGTTTTTAAAACATTATATATTCTAATAGGATGGAACAAACACCGGGAATCATTTCAGGGTTTGAACAAACTCAAACTAGAAGATATGAAGAACAATTTCAACTTGTTGAAACGATTTGACATGAAACAGAGAGAAAGCTGTCCAGAGCTGTCCACTGATACACTTTTAAGACATTCTGACAAGATTCTTCTAGATAGCCATTACTGGAAATGATCATTAGCCTGACAAAATGAAAATATCTCAACAATTCAGCTGTAATCTTATCCCTAAATTAAACAGCTACACGTCGATTTTTAGTTATGAACTGTGGAGGTAAAATGGTAGTGTTCCAAGTCTCCCACTCCAGGTGAAGTTTCTAGGTTAGTAACTGAAAATGCTCTTGGGTGTGTGGATTAACTTCCCTAAATGGGTATTATCTACTTACGGGCCCCAGCTACCAGGGTGGACTTGCCAAGGTGCAGTGCCCAGATTCAGATTAATACTGAAAAGTAGTGCTCAGTGCACACGTGACAGAAAAGCAATGTAAGAAAGTATTTCACGAGGGAGACAACTCCATGGCTACTGACTGAACACAAAAATCAGAAAATACTTTTCTGAGAGAATGTGCTACCGAGTCTAAAGCATGGAGGAATAAAAGAAACTTTACGGCCTTATCAGAAGGCCCCACTGTCTCTCGGAGACACATATGAACATGTGGAAGAGATAGGGAAGAATACCTCACTGTGGGGAAATCTCTAGAACCAAACAAGTTAAGACTGTGACTTTAAAACATTTCTCAGTTACTTGTGACAGAATTAAGTTGAGCTCCTTGGCTCTTGCTACACGGAGTCTTTTTAAGTGTGGGCCTCTACCTAGAAGCTGTGTGAGTTCATGACAGGATTCTAAATTCCGGAAATATTTTGAAAGTTCAAGTGATTAAGCTAATTTTGCAACTTAGAAAAAGCACCTTTAAAAATGAGATAACAGAACTAGGTGTGGTGGCTCATGCCTATAATTCCAGTACTTGGAAGCCGATATAGGAGAATTGCCTTAAGTTCTAGGCTAGCCTGGGTTATATAATAAATTCCAGGCTAGCCTGGGTATAAGTATGAGATTCTATCAAAAAAATTAGGAATCAGAATACTTTCAGTCAATAAAATTTTGGGATTTAGAGAAACATTTGTTTTTCCTCTAGAGAACATAAATAAAACTATGTGTCTTCAAAACATGACTAAAGTCAAGGGATAGAAAAATAATGTTTATATTGGGGGACTAGTAAACAGTTGATATTCCTCAAACATATTTATAGTTATTGGATGGGAGCAGCAAATTGTCTAAAACATTTTAGATGTGAGAAACAATGTTTTTGTTTTAGTAATGTCTCTTATTTATGTCTCCAAAATGCGTCTGATAATTTAAAGAAGCCATAGAAAAACTAAGAAAACATTATTAAGTGGAAGAGTATGGGATCTTTACTACTGGAAAACATTATTTTTCTAGAATAAATCAATATATTTAATATTCTAAGAAGACTAGGGTCACCTTTACACATCACTTACCTGAATATAGTGAAATTCTCTCCATGTTAAAGAGTCACTCACAGACGGAATAGATGTCACTGCCAGGAGAGCCAGGATGGCTAGCCCCACAATCCCCAGGGACACGTAAATCTCCATTCTCCAAACATCATGCTCAATCCAGGCATCCTCTTTGTTTTGCTGAACCTAAGAAAAAGAGGAAAGCAGCCAGACCTGTTGATAAGTGGGCTTATCTGATGGCTAATTCTGACAGAACCAGAGAGTACATGGGAACTCTGGGAATAAGCAGAGGGTAAGACAACCAGTCCTTGCAAGGTCACACTGCCAGGAAGCCAAGAGCGAAATATGACCCTGTCTTCGCAAAGTATTATGTTGAAATTGCTATTTATTTTCAATTAAAAAATACTCCCTGATATAAGATGACAGATGCTCTTGAAATTACAATAACAATTTTTAAAAATGAAGGATAATTTCTTAGAGTGTCAACAGGGGCCTGGGATACTACTGTTAACTAGAACAAGAGGGTGTTAATTCGTTAGGTCATTTGAACCTTTCAGCTTGTTAACCTTGTAGGGTGACCCCCTCCTACCTGGTTGTACGCCCAGTTGAGCAGCTTGTATCTGTAGGAGCGCCTCATTGGGTAAGACAGACTATAAAGCGCGTGCAGCACAGCCAAGAAGAAGCTGAGGAGCCCGAACTGCTTCCTGGCCAGCATCCACCTATCTAGCCACGGGGGGAATTTCTTGTACTTGGTTCCATTGCGAAGCTGCACAACTGCCGCTATCACCCCTGGCAAATAGACCAGTGCCAGGAGTGTGATGGAGACCATCGGCAGGACTTTGTTGATGACCAGGATTGGGATCTTATAAAAATATTGTTCACGGGACGTTACTAAAGGGTAGATGATTTCCCTCAGAACAGTGTACAGGAAGGTCAGAGACGATACAATGGCAGCGATTTTAATTGGCAAGCGCCAGTTTGGGAAGAATTCCTGTGTGTGCTGAAGCTCAGAGGGGCAGTCAAATGCGTCGACGTGGACCATGTGCGGCAAATGTGCCTGTCTTTTCAGCATGCTGGTCTCTCCCGTGTCCTGAGACTACAAAAGAAAGAAAGAAAGAAAGAAAGAAAGAAAGAAAGAAAGAAAGAAA